ATGCACTTGTTTCTAGTAGCTTCTTGTTACTACTAGTAAGGCACTTGCTACTAGAAGCGATGCACTTGTTTCTACTTCTTGTCTCATTAGTTGATAGCACTGCATCCAGAGTTGATTGCGGCACCAAACGACTTGGGAAACCGAGGCAAAACTGGCTGCATATCACAAAGAAATTTGCGTCCGAAAACGTTTTAAGACATCATAATTTCGATGAAAACACCGATGATGCAAGAATATATGCAGCCGCATTGAACAGAGATTTTTAATTACCGTTCTTTGGCTGTGCCAACGCCTTGCAATAAGCCCGTCCGGACCAGGTCGGCGCGAGGTATGGCTGGAAAGCGACAGAGTGAAAGCGACAGCCCGTTCAGCGACAGCCCGTCAGCGACAGCCCGTTCTTCAAGAAGGATCGAGTCATGGTGAAAGCCGAGGCACTCGCCCTCCAGGGCCATGATTGCTTGGAGGAGGTCCTGGCTACAGTGATGCCGCCGATTTTGGACGGACCGGCGCCCGACCAGTGGATATCGCCCCGAAGCTGGCTCCAACCTTTGCCCGAGCGGCGGGTTCTTGGATGGGTGGGCAAGGAAGCTAATTGCAGGTCAGCTGCAGGTCCCTGCAGAGTATAACGGTCTTCCTTCTCGTATTTTCTTTTTGAAAGATTTGGACCACCAGCTCTTGGCCTGGGGAAAGCCCTGTGACAAAGCACCCCAAATCACTAACCCTCAACAATATCCAGCTGAGTGTCGCGACCCGCAAGTCCTATGCTGGCGATGAAGGCAGGGGATTGATCCAGTGATCCATTGCCATGGATGGTCGCTTTGCGATGGCCAAGCCAGGCCGAACAAGACTGACGTAGGAGCAAAGAATTCAGTGGAAGAAATCACCCACACTGCAGCTGATCGGGTCTTCTGAATCACGTCGCCCACAGTTCAACTTGTTTGCTCTCCTGAGAAATATATACATACGCTGGCGGGTCAGACCAGTGGCAAGTTAGGTAGAATGGTGAGGTCTAAGATCATAGCTCGTGTGGCAGGAGTTCCAGTGTCAGAGAACCTGCAGAAAAATCTGGGATGCAACGCTCGAAGACGGTCGTGAAGGGTCTTCGTTAGGACCGTTCAAGTCAGCCAAGGAGATCTCTAACCTGCTCGGACGTGAGGATTGGAACCGCGCTGAGAGACTCGAGGTTGTTCAGAAAAATAAGGTCCGAGGTTGCGACAGTGCCACCACGAACCTGGTCAACCAGATCACTTGGACCACTGAGAAACTCCAGTTACCGTCGGCCGATACGAACGTGGCCGCACTAAGGAAGCTCAGATCGTCCTTCCTAGACTCGAGCTTTGCAGCCTGATTCCTTGACGAGAGGAAAGCTTACCGACAGGTGGGCATTTGGCCTGAGCATAGAAAGTTCAGCGTGATCTGTCTCAAGAACCACAGCTCGAGGAAGCCAGTATTCTTTGTGATGGTAGGACACTCGTTCGGGTTGGTGTCTGCTGTATATAACTACACTCGTAGATCCGCTGCCATTGATGAAATTTTGATGCGCCTGTTCGGGCTGGTATCTTTCAACTTCTATGATGACAAGTATGGTCTTGAACCCGTTGAGATGATTCAGTCAGTCTTTCTCGCGGCACAAAAAGTTCATTTTTGGCAGCCTTCGATGCCAGATCTCGGACAAGCCAGTCGTGCTAGGAGTGACTTACAATCTGGCCGATTGGGTATTAGAGATCAAAGAAGGCCGTCGCCAGGAGTTATCCGATGAAATTGAGGCGATCTTGAAGTCAGACTCTCTCGGCCGCTTTGGGTTGGGTCCGTCTCCCTGGGAGTCCCTCAGACAGTGGTTGTTTCTGGTGACTGCCAGACCCCCAAGGTCCATCGACTTCTGTGCTAACAAACGCGCCGACTGTGTGTTGTTCACCGATGGTTTCTCGCCCGATCCTAAGGAATTTGACCCCCGACCGGATCGGATATAGGCGCCGTGCTTTTCAATCGAAGAAGGCTCCCAGTGGAGATGGTTGCAACGATCGTAGCGCTGGAGACGTTTGCTGATCAGCTGCTTCGCACAGACCTTTTCATCTTCACCGATTCAGAAGTGGTGGAAGCCGCTCTGGTAAAAGGTTATTCTAGGAAGGAGGACATCTGCCTTCTCGTGTCGGAGTTCTGGAACCTTGTTCCGAGATTGCGCATTCGTGTTTTCATCGAGAGGGTCGCGACCGATTCGAACCCAGCAGATGCTCCGTCTCGTGATGATTTTGAGCACGGGCGAAACGGCCTGGCTCTCGATCGATGCAGCTTGGCCAGAAGCCATCCTTTCGTGAACACGTTGTGGAGTGTCGCTCGCTCGACCCAGTGCAGAGCAGATGTGAAAGCGAGGTGGTGAGAGTCTGGGATCCGTTTGAGGTCAACCAACTCATACTGTACTGTTCAGTTTTCCGTAGGTCAAGTGGGGCTCGTGAAGAGCCAAGCTCACGATGAGCTGAACCCGTTTGATCACGGTACTGTTCGGTCCCTTCACTCTTTTTCATTGGTCGATGATCGAGTGTAACGACCCCACGCCTGTTTACACTCGAATGAAAAAGAGTAGTGCTTCTCTTTCGAGGTGATTCGTTTTTTGCATAGACGGCTGAACAAGCGAGAGTCCCCGAGCGAGGTGTTTGTAACGAGTGGGGTCCATATAAACCTCCTAACTTGCGGATTGTGCCATCTACTACTCTCAATCCACTGTATGTGCACTCATATTTTTTCAATCCAAGTCCAGGTCAGAGAAGCGGTTCATTTGCTTCGAGCAAGGACTTGTATGAGAGGTGCCTTTCTGAAAAAGGAAGCAGCTAAGGGAGTGGATTATGATTGCCAGGAGGGGTATTTCGTGAGTCCAAATGGACGTTCCGAAGCCTTCTTGGACCTGGGGTGTCTTGTCTAGAGATCCGCAATATAGGTAAGGGTCCGAGCTTCCAGCTGCTGAAGAGCGGCGATTTGGCGCCCAGGTGATCTGCGCTCCCTGGGCCGTCGCGCCTCTCAGGAAGGTGCGGTACCCGTGGGCGCCGCGTGTCCGCCGTGAGTGGCCTCGTACGACACTCGGGCGTCGACTCGTCGGGCCGAGTCGTTGCTTTTTCGACTCTTATTTGTTCTTCAGCGCTCTGAACATGGAAGTCCTCAGCTTGGCTCTGGAGAAGGCTTTCTGAAGTTTCCCCGAAAAAATGGTGAAGCTGGGATCGAAGGCCGAAGCTTGAGCCGACGGCGGCCGGACGGGTTGGTTTCAGTAGCAAATGAGTCATCCGTCCGAGTCCAACGGATTGGTTGAGTTCACCCGGACTGAGTAAGATGTCCACTGGGATTTAGAACATCCTGGAACCCCAAACAACCAGAAAGAAATTGATGTTTCCCCAAACAACCATTTCCTATGTAAAGGATTTCAATTGCCATATTGGAACAACCATTTGTTTCTGGTTGTTTGGGGTTCCAGGATAGAAAATTAGGTGCATTGGATGTGATGACTTTCACCTCCCACAAGTTCGGTTTCACAACTGGTGGGGTGCCCCAGACCCTCAAAGTCCCATCCGGGAATTTATCCAAGATTGAATTCCATTCCAAAGCAAGACGTCACATTGCTTTCGACTCGAATGAGCTCTCCACCCGACATAGATTCGACTCTTTTCCCTGTTTTCCTCGACAAACAAGGTGCTTTCCACCTCCACCCTAGATGTATCTAGATGTTCCGTTTCGACGTTTTGGGGCGAAGTAAAGGAAACTCCTAGTCAGACCATTTTGCCAGATCGTCTTGGACTTCCAGGGATCCAACCGTCGTGCGAAGACTCCGACCGGCGACCTCTCAGCGACCTCAGAGCGTCCTGCCAGGTCCCCGCCTCTCGCGTGAGGAGCGCCGTTCCAGGTTGTCAGGCGCAGAAAGGGCAATTTCTTCAATCTTTCACTAGGCGGCGAAGAGAATCTGAAGGAGGCCCTCACAAACCAAGAAGTGAGGACGTCAGCATCTTCCAAAAACCAGCTGAAACAGCATGTTTCGGCACATGTTCACCTCTTCAACATCTTCAACGGCCTTTCCCAACCATGCTGAGGGGAGTCCTTTTCATGTGGCTCTAGCTCGAGGCTCGGAGCAGCGGATGCTCTCGCAACCGCCTGCGTCGGGAGCGCCGAGTTCAGGACAATGGGAGAAGCCTGCAGACTTGCTAGAGTCATCTAGAGTGCATCTACTAGTGGTATAGGTAAAACATAGTAAAACCATTCTTCATTCGGAAGAGAGTTTTTTGGTTGCCCGCAGCAGTTGGTTTATGATTCATGGACAGCTGAGTTTGCAGCTACGAACCTCGAAATTGACCTTTGGCGCCACCAGAGTTCCTCATGCTAAGTTTCCCCAAACATCTAGGAAGCAAATCATTAGTGCGAGTGTGAGCTATCCTAGAAGCTAACTTAGCCTAGTAGCGAACTAGACGCCAAACTTAATTCAGTAGGGCTTTAGTAAAACACCAATGGCCTCTGGCGAACTGTCCACCGGCCGCTGCTCGGCTCTCCGTCTTCGCTCGCGCCACGCTGCGTCAGACACGTCTGAGATCCCTCGGCCGAGGCCAGAAGACAGCGAATCGGACCTGCTGGTGGAGGACGGCTTCCGCCGCAAGTCCGAGGCCAGGAGAAAGGGTGCTCTTTTTGCTGGTGGGGAGCGGTGGCACTGGTGGATTTCTGTTCAGGACTGGCAAGAAGAGAGGTCTTTCGTTTCTTTTTGGGGGTAGGGTCACGGAAGACGTTCACCTCTTGAAAGGTTGGGGGTGCCGACATCCACTCACCTGGGGGACCCCAAAACTTTGGAACGCTGCCGACCTCCGTTCGCCCCGCGTTTGGCGGCCGGTGCCGCCCGCCGGTTCGTCCGGTCCGGTGGGCTTCGCCAGGTCACCGGTCCGAAGCCACGGGCGAGCATCCTCACGCTGGAGTTGGACGCCGACAACGTGGAGGAGGCACTGCGTTTGGTGTTTGTGGTTTTTCCCCATGCAAAAAGGCCACCCCGAAAAAGTGTCTCTATTTTTGTGATTCTTTGTGTGCACGTGTCCCGCGTGCAAAGGGGCGGGCTGGCTGCATCTCTATATAGGAGCTTCAAAGTGAGATTTTGTGAGGGAAAGAGGTTACTTGAGTCCCGATGAGGTCACCGAACTTGGAATCCTAGTCCGGAAAAGCGGCTCTCGGTCACGAGGACACTCATGGGTTTTTGTTTCTTTGCTCTGCCAGATGAAGTCGATCGTTTGGAAGTTCACGGAGCGTGGAGCCGTGGTGAAGGTCATCAACAAGAACTGCCCGGAGGTGAGACGCCCGGAGACCGACAGTGCTGTTTGGTGCGCGGAATGAGACTGGGTTTGCGGGGGGCTTCCAGTTCGACGTCTTCTCTTCTTTGAATTTGCCAGCACCCCTCTTTCTGTTTGATCACCCAACAAGCACTCTTGCACCTCTCCCACTTGCCCTAAATCTTTCCGGCCGCGCTCGGCTGCGTACCTGAGAGCGTCGAAAGTTCACCGCAGGCAGTGCCCGAGAGTTTGCGCGCTGGAGATTTGTTGACCTTCATCAACGAGGAGTGCGTCCTGGAGCAACCCAAGTGCGCCGAGCGTGTTTTGGACGAGTGCGCGGTTGGCCATACGCGGCCCGTGGGTGGGCCGTTTGGCGGTGACACCGGGTCCAGGGTGCAGGACGCCAGGCAACCGATGCATGAGATGGTTAGGTGGCCTTGCAACATAAAGATGTGAATTCCTTTTGAGAATCTGATATAATATAATATATATATATAATATATATATATATATAATCAAGTGGAACCTCTGGAATGCCTAGTAGACAGCTTCTCCGACACTTGTCCTTGGGCAGAGGAAAGCTGAAACATAAGTGTAAGTTTTTTTGCGTGCCTTACCTACGAAAGTAACCTTTTGCTGTCCTGACTCGGGCCCAACGGGGACCAGGCCGAGTTGGTACCCCAAGGGTGTGGGAACCAAGCACTCCAAGTCGCTTGACCCCATGGTAGGTTGACATACTTGTGTGGTGGGGGTGAGCAACGTTCTGCTTGGGGAAGGTGCCACGATAAGCAGGTGATAAGCAGCTGCCATTTAGCGGATCACATTGTTGAGCCGGAGGAAGCGAAGAGGGGAAGTCATCAGAACCGGGTCAGTACAAGACTCCTCACCACATATGGCAGTGGGTCAAGAAAGGGGGACCCTGGTTGACCACCGAAAATTAATAGATTCCTCTATTAGGCATGTCAATATTCAATGGTACTTACAGCCATATGGAATATTATGATGAGTGGTATTTTGCCTTGGAGATGGGTCATGTCCATCCTGAACATCAACTCAACATCAACCATGGACGTTCCACGTGACCCACTCGAGTAAGACCGTTTCCGCACGGCCAGGGCGTTCATTCAGCAAGCATGGAAGGAACAGCAACTTGGCTTTACACAAGGGTGAGTGCGCGTTTCGGAGCTTGTCTTTTGAGGGGCTTGGCATGCCAAGCTACTCGGGCCATGCCGGCATGACCATCCATGAAAGAAGGTCGTTGAGATGGGTCACCCGGTCACAAAAGCTGCCGAAAACCCAGTCACCCATGTTTTTTTGGTTCGGGAACGCCGGAACACTCCATTGGGGGGGGTGACTGGAGATCTGTGCACAAGACCTCGCTGCACCCTCATGCACCGCCGAGTGGATCGATGTCACTTCCGGCAAAAGGACACCCTGGAAGGTCATGGAAGGTCTTTGGCTTCACCAACCGAAGAGCCAAGGGCCGCGGCGGTGTGCGGTGTGAGCATGGCCTCAGGCAGCTGGAAGACCGCTACGTCGTGCTGCGTCCGGACGGCTCAGCAGACATGGTCAGTGGAAGGTACAGCAGTGGCCGCGAGAAGGCAGAGATTCTGGTCCACCGGCCAGCTCTGTAGGGTTTGTGGCTTGCATAGCGAACCATCAGCCGAGGTAGATTTGGTTCTGATGTGTTTCAGCAGTTGACTCAGTGTTACGCGTTGATCCATCTGTCCGACCTTTCAGAAAGCCTAGATGGCATGGAAATGAAGGGAAGGACTCCTGAAGGTCCCTAAAGATTTGAGAACTGCAGAGTTTCGGAACACCTGCATTGGCGCATGTTTCTAATAGGAAGACCCCACTGGCAAAATGAGACAAAGTGATCGAGCAAGTCGTCGAATCTGAAGAGCGTCTTCACACCCACACCGTGGGAGTTCTCGATGCAAGTCATCAATCGTAGGAGCATTCACGATTTTCGAGTCATGATTCTGATCGTTCTTCGACCAGAATCGGACCATGGACCAGGTCATCCATTCCCCTTTCGACGGAATCGGGAGAAGCTGAGGTTTCAAGCCCGTCGAGCGCGAGGCGGGGAAGCTGTGGGCGAGGAGGACGGAAACAAAACAGAAAAAACACCGGTGAGATAAAAGGAAAAAGACCAAACGACCTTTTTGTTTGCTATGTTGGTTCTGTGTGTTTGGGGTCTATCTGGTGCTTCTTGAAAATTGAAAACATTCCAACCCAACACCAGGGAGATCCTTTTTCTGGTGCAGCTTGTTCCAGGTCGGGATGGTTGACTTATATAATCCAGAAGTGGGTGGATCATCCTCCGGTAGCGCCGAACTGGAGCTCCTGGAACTTGGATCTTGTGCACGATCAAACACGCGTTCAGCCACAGATTGGACCATTGGACCTATGCAGCTGGTCAAATGAGATTCCTCCAGGATGTTTATTTGGAATTGTTCTATTTTTATAGCGGTACCGTCACATATGGAACCCAGTTGACCTCGACGCTTTAGACGAGCAAACCATCCCTAACATAGCCCTTGTATCCAGAGGTTGTCACCTGGTTCTGGGATGTTCTAGACTAGACAGTCATTCTCATCATCGAACTTGGTTCCAGGTATCAGACATCCTTGAAGACGCTGCTCGCCAGGTGTGAGTTGAGCCTGAGATGAGGCCGGGCACGAGGACAACAAGTCTTCTCACCTGTGCTGGAAGACTTGTGAAGCCTCAAGAGAGCGGATGGCAAGCCAGATGAACCTGCCCAAAGAAAGACATGCAAACAGTCTCCGAACGATCAATCTGAAAAGGTCGAAGTGGGTCTCAAATTGACTTATCTTACTGCTTGGTGTTTTCTAGTTGGTCCTTTTCAAGTCTTCTTGGTTGGGTCCATGGACGCTGTCACTGTCCACGGAGGGAAGAGAGCCAGCAGCGTACGGCGCTGTCCACGCCCCTTGACATTCTCCCCCACGCTGGTGGCAGCTGAAGACATGCCACGCAAACCACATCGATCCAATGATGGTTTGCGTCCAGCAAAAGCGGCGCCCGGGTCGTGGTCCACGATTCCGTAGGCTGGATGGCCCCTTCTACTTCCAATGGCCGCCCAGCCGTTGAAGGTGTCGCAGCTGTGGGTTGGGGAAGGGGGAACTCCCTCCAACAGCAGAGATGGCGATGGGTAGCGCCATGGGGGGTTGGGCATTTTGCTTGATCTCCAAAGACTCTCAACCATAGCCATGGGTTCGGGGAAGTCGTGTGCACCTTCTTCTGGAGAGTTGTTAGCAAGTTCAATGTCTCGGGAAGCGGTGCCCATGATCCACTCACCAAGGGACGAGAATCTTTGTTTCAGCTTTCATCTTCGAGCTCCGAAGCATCGTTTCACACGCACAGATGCTTGGTTTCGCTTTCCTCGCCTTCAAGATCTTCGGAGGATGAAACAAAGAATGTCCCATATGCTACGAGTCGATGACGGATACACTCTGAGTCACTGACAAGGACCTGGAAAACCATTTGTTTGAATAGAGGAACATGTCATCCATACACTTCCATGATGATTTCAGGGAGTGCATCCCAAACAAAAGAAGAGATGAGGACACTCACTCACCCAGCACAGACGCCCCCCTTCACAGCAGCATTTCGAGGCACACAGCCCGGCGAGGTCACCGGCGGAGGAGTCGCCCCTTTGGTCCGGTCTCCTGGAGACCGCGTTTGTTCGCCACGTGGGAGGATGACTTGGTGGGGGTACAGTGGGGGTGCTGTTTATTTTTTTTTAAAATCCTTTTTGAGGACGCTTTCCTTGGTTTGAACAGGTCAAGTCATTCCCCCTGCTAGGATGACTTAGTGACTAGAGTTGACTAAAGTCTGGAAGTTCATCTTCTGGGGCATTAGGACAGACCTATTTGTTCTCTTGGAGAGTTGGCCAATACGGCTCTTGGTAGATCAAAAGAGGAGCAACTTCACCGGGAGAGAAGTGACCCTTGATCGCCTTGACCCAAGATCAGACTCATTTTCAGGATCTCTTCCACCGAATGAGAGCCCACTGCCAATCAAACCATGTAAATCTTGAACCTGGTGGATCCTTTTTGACCATTTCGGTGAGACCGTCTCGACTGAATCCACTCGATGTCAACTTCGTCCATTTCTTGGACCACCCTGCTGTGCACGTGATTTTCATTCCACGCCTCCCCACAAAAACGAGCTCCCAGAAGGTAGGGACGGATCCTGGAACCTCGCCCAATCCGTCAAAAATGGAGGGGCCAAGGTGGTCTTTTTCTTCTCAAAAGGCATCATGAAAAGGCATGAAGTCCATGTTTGGGAACCCTGATCTCCAACTGATTGGCGCCCGGCACCTGGGCTGGTGGAAAGCCCCGTGTTTGGCCAGGCCACTCTTGACAGCGCAGCAACTGACGGAGGCATGAAAGTGGAGCAAGTCTGAACAACTTCAATCTACTGTAAATGAACTACACTAAGGAGCCCAACATGGCCCAATACTATCTCCCAGCTCTCACAGATGGCGCCATTGGCGTTCCCTTCGCATGCCCATGCATGCTGTAGTGATTTGGCTTTGGAACCAAAGACATTCAGACATGGGTGTGGGTCATGGCACCGGAAAAACCCTGGATTCGAATAACCCTGGTCGCCAAACATGGTCAACTGTGGCCAGGTTTTGGGTTTAGGCTTTTGACCCACTGCCACATGGGTCAGAGCTGCCAACCGTGGCAGCGCGCTCCTCCTTCTCTCCCCAGTGGCTGCGCGCGTCGAGCAAGTCTGTCGAGCGAGCCTTCGGACTGTCACGAAGTGATCCGAACCCGCTCGGCGGTCTCTTTTTCTTCGTCCGGGCCCTGCGAGGATGCCAGTCTTGTTTGAGCAAGTGAAGCAGCATGAGCTTTTTGCCATCAAACTAGAGAAGGGACCGTTTCCTGCTATTTGACAGAACAGACCATTTTGTGGCAACGCGCAAGTTTCAGGCGTAGCTGGCAACTGCGGCCCTTGTGCATGCGCATGTCTTCTTGAAGGGGTGTCCAGCAATGCATGTGCAAGCTTCCAATGGAACAGGGGATCATTGCCAGAGGCAAGACACTTTCGCACGTCCTTTTGCCTCAGAACTGCGATTGCTGGACACTGTACCTTCCACAAAATCTTGGACGTAAACACTCACAGAAGCGAGAACTAATTCAGCTTGTTTGGCTACTCGGACTTGAGCGTCCAAGTCTAATTAATTCGTGCCCCCCCAAAGGTGGCGAATTTGTGCGGCGAACTCAACGCCGCTTTCAAAGCCTCTCTCAGGAGTAGAAGTTCAGTTGCAAAGCAGGTGTCGATTGCTCTTTCACGGGTAGAACTGTGAGCATGTGGCGTTGGTCAACCCACCCCCTGCGGATAGAAGTTGAACTATTCTGCAGTTCAGTGACAGCTATTTTTCTGTTGGCACACGACCAATAAGACCGTACTCGTCCACCACCCAGGTGATCTTTCCTGAATATGCTCGTATTGCATCCTATTGCACACTATATACATCTATATACTATCAACAGCAGGTAGACTCCCATACTGAGTATCCAACCCCGCTTTTGGAGTCGCTTGCAACTCTTGCCCTCATGCATGAGCGATCTAAGACAAATCGACCCGCACCCCGCACAAAATAGAAAACGCTTTGTGATCCATCTTCAGCTTTGGAGGTTCGCCTCTCCATTCGGTTAGCGGCTATGATCCTTGTCACCCGCACAACATCTCCGATTGTGGGGCACTTTCACCTCCAAAGTTCGCATTTTGACCTCAAAACCCCTAACCTCAATGAAATGGAGCGCTGTCGATGAAATCGGGCAGTTAGGCTTTTGATCATGCTTGCGACACCGAACCCAGTCGAACCCAATCGAACCCATTCGCTTGGAGTGGATCCTTTGTGGGTCATGGCACCGCGAAAACCCTGGTGGACCACGGAAAATGAACAGACTAGACCACTGAGTATCCGACGGTCGGGTCGGGTTTCGACCCACAGCCGCTGAGCTGAGCTCCTGAGTGGGCACCGAGTGACGTGGTGAGACTCTCGGGACAACAACCCGAGGTGCCACGACCGTCGCGTGGCTTTCGAGGTGCAAGTGGAAAACGTCCGTTCGACCATGGTTAAAATGGGAACGACTTTGGTTTTGCAGTGAAAAAACCCTAGTAAAAACTACGGTTCTTGGGTAAAGACCATTATATAGATCAATGCCCAGGGTGTATCCTTTTTGTTGCATAAACAAAGGAAGAGGAGAAGGGCATGCCTTGTAAGCCAGTCCTTGCCCACTACAGTTAGTTACTGGCCAGGTTAGTCTCGAGCCTCAACCCCCCAAAAAACCATTCAATGCGCGATCGTTGATGGGTACCATCAGCACCACGGTGCCCGAGACCTTGTGCCCCCCCAGTCCAACGCAGTGGGCCAGCCTCGAACGCTCCGCGAAGAGACCAGAAGCGAAGTCTCTCGGACCTCGTTGGAGACCTCCGGCGTCCGAAAGAGGACCGCTCCCCCCGGGCGTGAAAAGCTCCCCGGGGGGTGAAAAGCGACGGGCCGACCTGAGGCCAGGCTGAAAAGGAGATTTGGAGATTTGGAGGGAGGTTTGGGCATGGTGACGCGGAATGCAGTTTCTGGTTGGAGTGGATGCTATTGGGTGAATTCCTGCAAGATGAGAGTAACTGGATGACACAGGTGTACTCATGAGGCAACCTTGAGGGCTTTCTTGTGGAAGCAGAAGCAAACAGGAGTGGATGGAATACCAGGGTGCAAAGCAAGGCCCTGTTAGTGCTCTCAAAAAACAATCGAAGGTTTCTGCATATAGAGAGCCCCAAAACGAAGGAGGACCAACTCGGGCACTCAGTTGCCATAAGAATGACATGCACTAATACCATGAACAACTTCAAGGCCGGCCAACAGATGTTCCTTTTCTCCGAATTGTCCAAAAAAAGACAATGACCTCCAACGGTGGTGACGTCCTATCGGGTCTTCCAATGGTTTCAGACGGACCACCCAAACCCAAGCCCCTGAACAGCCATGGGAAACCCCGTGCCTTCTTGGCCTCGAATCCGCGATTTTGGAACAGAGGATCCGCCCAGGGAATGTGTCCTGAGTCTAGACTCAGCATCCTGACCAGAGGTTGAATCATATTATATAGACTATCCCATGGCTACCCCAGGTTACGGGTCCTTTATAAGGTGATGGATTTTGAAGATATTTCTTGATAAGAAATGCAATTGCCAGGTGGAAGGTGGTGGAAGCCGGATCGAAGCCCGCGAAACTGGGAGAAACAAATCGCCACCGGGGCCGCTGGGACATTCTTCACATTGCTCAAGTGCTTGCAGCAAACATGGCAGCTTGGAGAAGAGCAGATCTTCAGTCATCAATGTGGGTCGAGACATGTCGAGACAACAAGAGACCCAAAACCAGGGTAGAGTAGAGGACCATTTTTCTTGGCAGTCCATATTCGTTCCTTTCCTTTTCTGGGTGGGAGTTAGCAGGAGTAGAGCACTGTGACATCACTCGTCAAGAGGTTTCTTTGTTTCCCAGAAGTCTGTGGGTCATGGCACCAGGATCCCTTGCGAACGACCTCCGGAGGTCGTTCGCTAGATGGTGGACTGGTCGGGCGAACACGGTTGAACGACCCATCTCAAGCCCTGGCAGAGGCGGGGAATCAACATCCCACCATGCTCAAGTCCTCGGGTCGAGGCTCAGAATCGAACAACTCCTGATCTCCATGTGGTAGGACCCCAGACTGGTCTAGCAGCCAGTCGTCTTGGTGACGAAGCTTCACAAGTGGCCCCAGACCTTCTAGCAATCAGAACTTCCTTCTCTTCTAGTGCTACACTTGCAGCACCTCTCATTTTCACGGAACACCGTCATCCTCTTCCGGAAACCAAGACCCATCACCACTCGACTCGCGGGGCGCGCGGTTGGTCCGGGCGATGGGCCTCGCGTGGTGTCTCCGCACGTGCACGCCTGGAGCGAGGCGTTGCGGTTTGGGGCAACCGTTCGGGGCGACCACGTGGGGGGGGAGGCTTGACCTTGACATTCTTTGGGAGGCGACGCGTCTTCTTTGAACAGTGTGACTTGCACCTGGTCAAGCACCCCGCAAAAGCAATATTTGGGA